GGCTGTGAAAGCAGAACTTTTATTGAGGTTGGGATGTTAGGATGAAAACACACTCATTCAAGGTTTATTGAATAGTGTGTGAATGACTGTATTCCAGTCTTTAAGATTTGCCCTGAACCACTATTGAAGTAATAACAAAAATGGAGTAAGCTTCATTGTAAGATGAAATTGTTTTATTTTTCACAGTCTCTTCAGTTTCATTTAACCTGTGTTTGCCTGTACGGTGCAAACCCCTACTGTCTTTCTAAGACAAGGATGGGAACTGCAGATAAGAACATGCACACCTTTTTTTTTTTTTTTTTCTTCTTAGGGTTCCTGTGAAGTTACAGTCACAATATAAAGATGACAAGAAGTTCAAGACAAGATAAAGGACCCCAGTGAGATTGGACACTGAGAGGTGCACCAGACTTCCTCCTTTTTCTTGGCACTTCTCTTTTTATTCTTTGATTAAAGTCTTTTTCCTTTACTTACATCCTCCATTAAGATGTCTCAGTGTCATTTAGGGTGTTAATTGAGAGGAGGTTTAAGCTCATCAAGGCGATTATAAGTGATAGTTAAAAATTTCTATATATGGCCTATGCTGGAATCAGCACAGTAGGATGCCATTTTTCTTTTATCTAAGTGACATTGGTAATAATAGATGAAATTATTACTAAATCGCAGCTGCAGAGATGATATCATGATTTTTTTGTGTAATCTTTGATGAAAAATTAATTTTTGAGAGGGATAATTTAAAATGATTTAAATAGTATTATACTGAAGTCCTTACTGGTAATTAACACCAATCTTGTCAGAAGTGAATCCACTTTTGCAGCTGTTTCTAAAGATACCTACAGTATTTGTAACTTTTCTGGGAGTCAAATTATAGTGTTTGGACTTTATTTTTACTGCATAAGGACCATTAAGAGAAAGGGATGTAAATAGAGAAGGCTTTGTTCCCCAGCAGGGCCAAAGTCTATTTCGCATTTTAAGTGTTTCTCTATGTGTGTATTTAATTAGCTATGCTCAGCATGCAAGCAGAGTTCAGTGTATGCAAAGTAGACTTTACATGGTATTTATATGTATGTATTCGCATGCCAGTGTACACATAGATATGTATATCTTTATGGGTTAGCTATATAAGTATACACAACTTTATTTGCGAGGGTTTTAATTGGTTGAACAGATGGCTGATCAGAAATGCTTCTTCATCTTCATCAGTGACTCGTCTTTCTTTCTTTGCATCGACTTTCATCACAGTGGCAAAAAAGTGCTCTAACGAGAAACAGCTGAAAATAGATTTTTCTTTGGTACTTTCATCATGCTTTAAATGACAGAAGTGGATTTTTTTGTCCTATATATAAAGACCTGCAGGAGAAGGTTAAAAAAGGAAATATAGTGAAATCTAAATAGAAAAATTTGAATGAGAATATGGGAGAGCCTCAGATTATTCCTCTTATCTTCATATTTTACTTTCTTCTTTTTTAAAGTACATGCTGATTTTTGACAAGATATATAGTCGTGGTTATTCACGCCAGCTATAGTACCTGCCAATCAGTTTTTCTTTTCCTCGAGTTTGGTGCAGAAAGGGGGAGGGAGGGACAGGAGTTGAAAGATGACACAATGGCTTAGAGGACTGTTACTTTAGGTATTCATTAAAAAAGGAGTTACATGGCCAGCTTCTGCTGTTTCTGCAATTTTATTATATTCAAATCAAAGTCTGACTTCTGTAGGCTTTATAAAGGAAACAATGTGCCTTATAAACAGAGTGCAGGGTTCATGTAGGAGTGGTTCACTTACAAGCAGATTCATGGCTTGAGTTTATGTATAGATATGTGAATGATCTATCCCATATTTAATTTGAAAGAATAAGTTATATGCTTTTTTTTTTTTTTTTTTTTTTTCTGTCAGTGTTGAAGTCTTTTGCAAACAGCTGCTTTTATTCCTGAATTCCTGTCCTGTGGATATATCACTGTTGTATCCATTTTGTAAATTGGTAAACTGAGGAATGCCTTGACTGAGGAAACTGAGAAAATCATACAGCTAGCTGAGAGTCAAAAGCAGAAGTAGAACTCAGGGATTCTGCTCTCCTCTTCTTTTTCTGCCAAAGCAGACAACCCCTGGAAATGGTTTACAAAGGAAAAATTACTCTTTGCATATTTATCTCTGTTTCAACTGAATGTGAAAGAAATACTCCATGGTTTCAAAGTAATAACCTGATTTTTTTTTTTTTCATAGTAAAGCCTAATTTTCATAGGCTTTCTCTTCATAAATGGAGTCAGCAATCTGCCCTTGTGCCCAGTGCAGCTGTGGAAGGACCACAGTCCTTGCCAAGTGTATGGGGGGGGCCCAAAGGAACAAAGAAGTGATGAAGCCTGAGGCTGCATGCAGAAGTTTTTCATCAGAGGGAGTAGCAATAGAGGAAGACTAACCTTCTTCAGTACTGCTGGCATGGGCCATTCCTATTCAGATACTTTAGAAATGAAAGAATATGTAAACAAGAAATTTCTGGAAGTTAAAGATGTATAAGGTGTGGCAAGTACCTCACAAGCATGAAATATGGCAACTTCTAAATTCTATTATTAAAATAATTTCTGAGAGGGAGATTGAAATTAGAGTTCAAGAGTATGTATACATGAGCACCATCTGGCTCTTTAGTTTCTGTTCTTTAGACTAGGACAGTCTGGAGATAGAAAAGACGTTATTAGAATTGTCTCCTTACAGTTTTGATGCAGTTGCTCATGTGATTAAAACAGAAGTCAAAGGTTGTACTGGAATTTTCTTTGTCGCCCAGAACAATTACTGGAGGATAAGGATGATGTTTGTGTGCTGGAAGGAGAAAGAAAAGATGCTGGGAATAAGAACAGCAGCTTCAGATCTTTTAGGCCCTTCTTTTCAGATTGTGACCCCTTGTCTGCTGGCTTTGGAACCCTGATAGAAATGGTGTGGGTTTGGGAGAAGGTAATCTTGGCTCAGGAGGTCCGGCAGATGGTGTTGGCAAATGGCACTGCAGGCTCCTGCAGCATGGTGCAACACTCTGGAAGTGGGTAGGGGAGCAATGAGGTTGTGGGAAGCAGTTGGTGACAAATACACTCAAGATGGCTCCAGTGATCAACCCCAAACAGCCTGGTAGGGTGGAGAAGGAGCAGAGAAATGCTCAGAGCAAATGAGCTAGCGCTGTGTTTGTGTCCCTCTTCAGGAGAATGTGTGCAAGGTGAAGGTCAGCAGCTGAAAGCAACATGGGCAATGCAGTGCTGTCCTTCTCACCCTTACCCTTTGTTGGGTAAACCTTTCTTTACAGAAGCTGAAGGTCTTAGAACCCAGAACGACTGTCATTAAAAATATCTATCTTCATGACTAGAGGAGGTCAGTTCCCTTCTATAGAGGTGTAAATCCATAGGCTTTCCACTGGAGACTGTGGCACATCCGTACAAACCAAGGGTACTTGGGAGGTGGTAAGACAACTGAGCTGCCTTTCTTCTCTCCCTCTCTTCCTAATTCCCTTTTTTTAGTATTAAAGATGATGAAATTAATCCAAGAAATTAATATCAACCTCTTCTGTCTCCAAAGAGATTAGTAGCATGGAGGAGACAATTCTTTCTAATCTTTTGATGCTGATAATTTTCATCTAGAGAAGATTTTAGGTGGTACTTGGGGATAAAGCAATAGCATAAAACTAAAACAGTCAAGAAACTTATGCTTGCATTCTGTTTTTTTCAAAGCACTAAGGGAGGTAAGCTGAAGGGATCTGCAGCATCTGCATGAGGTAGCACCAGCATGGAACTTGACTGTTATGGGTGTGAGTTTATGCAAAACAGCTTCACACAGATCTGGCCATGCTTCTTCATCCAGAGCTGTAATATTTTTCAGAGCTGTGGACTTCTATCTGCAAAGCCTTAAAAACATTATTAACTTAGTTTTATATATATTGCAAAACAATTTTCTACAACAGTTAAAACAAGCAACAAGAATGACACTAGTCTCCTAGTGCATTTCTATAAGGCTCATGATATCTCTGGTTAGTATTTACCTTGCCTCTTTATCTCTTTATTATTGTCTTTTAGTGCATAGGTGCATCATCTGAAGAAGTGGCTACTAGATATTCAGGCCAGACATGGGGAAAGTACACAAAAACCACTCTTGGTTGTCTGCATAGGAGATTCTCGTTGCAGTCCTTGAACTGGAGTCCATGCCAAACATTCTGTGCTGTTGCTTCCAAGATGGACAAATGGGGGCCTTATAAAATAAGACAGGATTTTCCTTCCTTGCCAGTGACTAAGCATGCTGCCTCCATACCTGTTCCAGGTGTTGATGCAAAGGAACAAGGTGACTCTCTTGCACATCATACATAACATGCTCAGTTAAACAGAATTGAATATGAATTGTTGCATCTTTTGCTGTTGCAAATCAGTGCTATGATTATTCAGTCCATTTATAATTAGAAAGATGGGCTATTGGTTTAAAAAGTCCTTAAAACTGAACTTCTTGAGATCATATACCTATATATTAGGAGAGTTTGGAAGGCAGGAGCATTTAAAGAGTGATTTAAACATAAACAAAGAAAATGTGAATGTGAGTATAGATAATGTTTTTTGATATTTTATTAAATGTAAGAAGGCTTGACAGTTGTGGGTTGGGGTTTTTACCCCCCTTTTGTTCCTTCTCTTTCCAGTTATATATCTAACTCCATTTACTACGATCTATGCCTGAATTGCTAGTGAAATTATGATATCATAACAGTCAAGAAGATAAAAGGAGGAATGAATCAAGGAAAGTAAAGGAGTTTTAGTGGTAATTCATGGTACATTTTTTATTTTTCTTTTGTTAACACTACTGAGGATTATTGCAGTATCATAGTATAACCTTTTGAAGAGGATAAATTTAAAATATTTCTTCTTTCCCCATCCTCTTCAACCATGCTGTATATTTTTATATCACTAATCAGTTCAGTGATTAAAATACAGGAAAACCAAACTAAAATTTAAAAATATCTCAAACAAAATCCCCTAAACATCACTCAAGTAACAAGAATAAAATAAATATTTTGGCATTCTTCATTCATTCATCATAAAGTATATGCTCTGTAAAACTAACTCCTGGTAAATTATTTATAGGTCACTTTTAAAAACTTCCCAAGATAGTAATGCATCCCCTGAAAGGAAGAGACACATAGTTTTTCTATTCTTTATATGAGACATGCTTATACTATAGAAATATTTTTTGCTATGGGTTTACAGAATTATAAAGATATTTAGGTATGTTTGGAGCTACAGCACTTTCCAGTGATCTGAGCTGCAGACACAGAAAAGTGCAAAAACAACCTTGAAAATGCTTTGGCAGACTTTGCATGTTAATCACTGCAGAATGGCTTCAAAATTAATGAAACTAGTGCAATTTTTTCTGTATAAGTGCCTCACTCTGGGATGTAAGTGAAACAGAAATTTAGTGTAGTAGTTTTCAAGACAATGATTAACATTTACATTTATCAGCTGAAAATCCCCAAAACGTTATAAAAAGGTAAATTTTACAAAGTAGAGTGCTTGCTTCCCTGCTAATAGGCAGCTCTTAGCCATCTAAAGTCAGTCTCTTTCTCTCTCCCCTTCCTTACTAAGACAATTGTAAGGTTGACAGAAATGCCAAATTCATGCATGTTTTTCTTCTTGTTATGCCATTAAGATGAGTCATTTGCAGTTACACTATATAGCTTCCTCCTTTTTAAATGTATTTTATTATTTTACAGTTGCACTCCAGTTTTTAACATATATTTGCTTTATTTATATATTTTTTTATCTTCAGACATTGTGCTAAAATCTTATTTATTCTAAGGCTTTCAAGAAGAGAATTTAAATGCATCACAGGATAGGTAGATGTACTTGAACACTCATTGCCAGCTACAGTCCAAAATATTGTTGTTCATTGTTCCCTTCTACATATTCAAGAGATATTTGATCAAAATGTATAACAAACATGAAAACATATAAAAGCCTTGAATTTTCTATGAGGAAAAGAAAATATGGAAAAATAGTACAATATTGCACTCTGCTTAGGGGCACTGGTTAGGGTATTTATGCTGAAGAAAATAGCAAAATGCAGAGAGTCTGACTAGTTTCTTGGAATCTTATGTTTAATACTTCTTCAGTATGGAAATCATGCAAAATTACTTGAAAATGGCTGTCAAGTATTTGATCATAGCAGTATAGAATCCCCAAGAAGAAAAGGAAAAAATCCCAGGAAAGTTTTGAGAAGGTTTGAATATCAAGTAACAGACTGGGCTGCTGTCTCCATACTTCTGGTGCGTTTTTAACTAGGCTACCTTGTGTTCTTTTCTTTCCTTTCCAAACCCAGTATTTAAAAGTCCCATATGGCAATAGATATTGCTGGAATAGTATGCATACTGTTCTGGAATCAATTTTATCTGAGTTAACTTTCTGTATTTTAGAATGCAGATGAAATATTTTTCCTTCTCTACATTTTCTTTTGACCTGGTCCTTGTACACTTTCTGTTGTTTTGCCTGCAGCCCTCTCAATGGGTGTTTACATAATATACAGAACTTTCTTTGTTAATCCTCTATAGATGTGGAAGGGGCAGGGAGGAGGGGAGAAGTATAAGGGTCGTTCTGTCCAGTGTCATCTATGCATAGACAAAAGACAAAGGAGGATTGAAGGTGACATATTCTGTGTGATAACACCAGACCAGTACATTAGGTACTGGTATGTAGTCTTCATTAAGAGGACAAGGATGGGGAAGAATGTGAATAGAAAAAGCAGAATCTTGCTTGGAACTTGTTGATGCCAGAAGCATTATTTAACTTTTGAAGAATGACGCTAACGTTCAAACTTAATTTTCCCTTGTGATCTGAACGGATGGCTCTGCCTTTTACGTGCAGACCCTTGTCCTAGGAGTCTACTTATGCTCAAGGTCAAAGAAAAAAATATGAACAGGGATGCTGTTAGGGAATGATCAAAAAACGTGCTTGTTTTACTTCATATCCTACTTAGCAGAGACTCATGACTGACAGCTCTTTTCAACCATTAGAGATTTTGTGTCAATAGGTCAATAGATTTAATATCCTGGGGATATCCCCTTCAGATTGCTGATAGGCACCTTACAACAGCCAAAGGCCTGACCTCGGACCATTTTCAGATTTAAACTGTACCAACTGGATGTCAAACTAGGACTTTGAGAGACTCATCAGAACAAGGTGCACAGAACAAGGTAGTACAGCCATGATCTGAACTGGGCAGATGTTGAGTTCACCTTCTGCAATAAAACTACAGATGAAAGAAATATATTTTCGAGCTGTTCTTTGCTGACCAAGGTGTTCGCAAATCTATGCTAATATCTACAATTGTGCCAAAGATACATGTATTTGGAAACGAGTTGTGGAAAACTACTTATTTGTTTCTTAATGTATTTTTAATAGTTGTTTTGACTGATATGAAACATATGCCACGTGAATACTCTCTTCTTGTACCTGGTGTCATACAGAAAGTAAATGTAATATTAGTGACTAACAAATCACAGGAATCTGAAATATTCTTCCTATCCATAGTTACTTCAAAATATTTAAAAGGTGATTATAATTTCTACACAAGTACAGACCTTTGTCAGATTCCCTTCAATACGTTTTTTTTTTGTTTTTTTGTTTTTTTGGTTTTTTTGGGTTTGTTTTTAGGTTTGGTTTGGTTTTGGCTTTTTTCTCCAAGGTGACCTTTGTATTTCTGGCTTCTTATTCTAAGCCAGTTGATGGTGATTTTGAGATTGCATTGGCTCAAGTTTTAGGAAAATAAGTGTAAAATTAGAAAGCGGTTACCCACATCAGTTCCCTGCTGGGAAAGATATATTTCTGTAAGCTAAAGTAGATTATTAACTGAGAGTACACATGGAGTCAGACATTGCCAATGTCCCAGCTACAGTAAAGGTTTCAGACAGCTTGAACTCCATTAGATACAGATAATACAATCATGAGTCAGGATGCTATAAGCTTCATGAGTTTCATATCACAGTTTCCTTTCCTGAGTCCAAAGGAAGGTCTTGTGCAGGGTCAACAGAAGCTCAAGGGTGTGTCACTAACAGCTTGATGGGAATTGGAGCTCCTAGAATGAGTAACACTGTCACAGGAGGATGTTTTTTTCCTGTTCCCAATGGATCTCCAGAGCTTCCATACACTAATTAATGATGGAGACTGCTGTTGTGGGAAAATAATATAAAGGCCCAGATTTTCTGCTTCAGGCAAGGAGCAAGGAGTGCTAATTGGGAGGGAGGTGTGAGCAAAGATGCCACCTTGCACTGACTGATCATTAGCCAGCTTTTGTCACTTGCCATGAGTTAGAGCAGTCTGAGGGTGACTGCAAATTTTGTGGACTGATAGTGGCACCAAAGGGCCCTTCTGTTGACTGGGCCATACTGGTGTGTCACATGTACTTGCCAAAGTCTGTGTGTTATCTGCTAGGGATCAGAAGTGGAGAACATCATACTTTGGTTTTGAGAAAGGGCTAAGGATTAGTTTGGACAAGTGGGAGGAAACATTAGGTGAAAACCTAAGCTCCTTATTTGGATTTCTGAATTAACTTAAAGCTTCAAATGTTCAGGTACTTAGAAACAAAGGACTCTTTGCAGGAAGAAGTGAATGAGAAAGAAGCTCTTTCTGAGTATATATTAGTGCTTCAACCTCTGCTACTACCAGAATGTAGCAGGTAGTCAATCTCCAGAACATCCTATGCAATCCATTAGGCTGCAGCTCCAGAGTAAAATCAAACTTCTTAGATGATTTGCTGTAGAAAATCTCTTCTGAGTATCTACAGTGTCCTTTTGACAAGATCCTTTATGTGCTGGTCTTCCTCCCCTTTAGCCTTCTTGCAGGAGTGACAGGATTTGTCCAAAATACATGACCAATATATGTAGATCAAGAATAACATGAAGAGTAAAAGGCAAAAAAGGGAAAAAAAAAAAAAAAAGACCAAAGGCCTGTTGAAGATTTGAAATTCTCCCTTTGAGTATGATTTATGAGATCTAACAGAAATGTGAGCTGTCCTGTCAGCTTTGAATTTGATTTTTTCCTGATCAGATTTTATTGCAGAGAGTCAGTGCAGAAACAGAGTTGTTACTGTTCCTGCACGTTATGGTACTTTGGCACTAGGCCACTCCATGCATACATGCCAAGATGCTTTTATAAAGCCATTTAAAAAAGCAGTACTAATTAGATATTTAGGGGACTAAAAATCCTGAAGATTAAAATGCCAGTAAAGCAGTTATGACCACAAGTGTGTTTTACATAAGTAAGCTCATAAAGGGTTTTCTTCAGTGATAAAAGCAAAAATTATAAACCCCATGTTTCTTTCCTAATAGAACAGGTTAGACTACTAAATGCTTTTTATGTGTACTACTATTATATTTTTTTTGTTTATTATCTTTTCTTGCAGTCATATTTAAAGGCCCCATCATCATACTTGTTACTGCACACACAAAAATATAATCTCTACCTTAAATTGCTTGCAATATCAACCTTTCAGTTTAAAAACATGTTGCAAGGCACATTTTAAGGAAGCAGATAAATACTGTCAAAGATGTAGCACAGAATGAATGTGAGCATGATCTGAAAAGTTTTGTTTAAAATTGTTTATTTTATTGGAAGTTTCCATATGATACAAACTTCAAAGTTCCCTAGACTTCTTAAGTGAACGAGACACCATGTCAAAGCTGAGGAAGCCTACTGTGTCATAAATGGCTTGGAGAAGATAAAGGTGGAAGAAACATTCCAAGAGGAGCTAGGGCCAATCAATGAAAGGAGTGGGGAGCAATTTAAAAACAAAGAGAGGACAGCTGCTTGTACTTCCTCACAAAAATTTCACTAAGTGCTAGAGAGTATTGTGGGCACCAATAGGAAAAATAGCTTCAAAAAAGATTAGACAAAGTCATGTAGGTTGAGATGAAGTTACTGTGTCCTCTTTTTAGGATTATCAGACAAGCTGACCTATGTAACCGCCTAAAAGGAATCTGTAAGTTGCCAAATGGATGCAGCAAGAGAAATTTAGAGATGAAATTCTATTACATTTCATCTCTAAACATCTGATACCATCAATAGTCAAAGGCAGGATGCGCAGGCCTTTTGTTTGGTTCAGTTTAGTAGCTCATAAATACAAGATAAATATAAGATGCTGATCTCCTGTATTGTTGCTGACATGTGAATAGTTACAATAAAGTTTGGTCCTTTTGTGCACTCTGGATGCATTTTGGAGACTCTAGTCCAAAGCTGAGGAATGGTCTGAGAATAGAAGTGCTAACCCTTCATTGTAACTATGAGGCACAGCAAACAGTCCTACCACATGACATGAGGATGTAGTCATGCATCTGTGCCATCCATCCTCCTTTCCCCATTTAAATTTTTTCTATATCCACACCTATCTTCTCTGGTTCAGAGTAAAAGTGGCTTCCTTGTGAAACATGGAAATGAATCCAGGAAACTGGACAAAGCATTTCCTTGCAGAAACATTTGGCCACAATCTATATTAGACCACCTTTGTGTAGAATTAACAGATCCCACAGGTGCAAGATTGGTAGTAGATCATCTCTTGGCTTTTTTAAACTGTATTTATTGTATGTTACCAACTAGCTCATGGTTTGGTTTCAGAAGATGATGAAAAGAGAGGATGTTTTTCTGGCTGGGTGCAGAGTACAGCAGAGAAACAAAGGTGAGTATATTTCTGTTATGTGTCCTAATTTGCTGCTATCCTGTTTGATATTCATCTGAATAATCAAATGCAGGGTATGATTTTTGTCTGGACTGTAGTGATTCAGCCTTGTTGTATTTGCACTTCCACACTGGCAGATGCACACGGACACACACACACACACACAGAGACACATTTACAGACACAGAAATGGCAGGAGGAAAGGAGGGAAATTACATAATTATGGGAGTAACAGAAAACAAAATAATGGGGTTGTGATATTTTACCTACAGTGGTGTCTGATTCAGAGACTCTTTGCCTTAAATGATGCTTATCATCAATGTTATCCTGTGTGGATATCTCTCTGGTTTTGTTCACTAGATTTTGTAATCCTCTTTCAGTTGGATACCTTGTTTTCTGTAGCTGCAGGGTATAATATAATAAAAATGGTATGCATCCATCTGTAAGTTGCTCTTAAGCTGATATGTGCACTCTGTGTACATATACATAATATTTTTAGATAATATATACATGTGATACATATATAGGCATATATATATATATGCATACAGAAATTAATACTTTGATGTATTTAGCGTCTTCAACTAATTATACCTTGCAGTCTCATGTTAATTCCCATTTGCAACATTTGGCACTATTCCTCCTAATTCATTTATATTAATGAGGGGAGGATCCTCTGAGCAATAATCAGTTAAAAATCATGACTAGCTTTGTTAATAAATACCAGATTGGTACATGATACTGTATTGGCTTGTCCTTAATTAGGAAGCACTGGAAGGAGTACCAAGAGGGAAATACTCATAAATTTTTCTTTTAAAGTCTAACTGCTCTCTTTCTGGTATTTGCATCTTTGAAAGAGAGAGAAAAATGATAACTTTGAAATTTTTAAATTTTCCTGCACTTAAAACAGCTTATATTTAATTAAGATATACATTTGATATAGAAGTTTTTCCAGCCAGGTCCATGTGAGGAAAGAAAAATCAAGAAAAACATCAGCAACATTGCTAAGTATTAGGTAATTGAAATACTTAATTTAAATATTAGAAAACTGGAAGTTTTATGAAGTATTTGGGGAAGCTGGATGGCTCAGGGATCTAGTAATGAACTAGTGAAGTCTTCATTTCTAGGTGATTGATTGGGATTGTATCTAGGAAAGGCAAGAAAATAATTCCTATAAGTCTGTATAGAGCAATGGTTCTGCTATCAAAATCATGTCTTACCCTCAGCCAGGACTCCAGGAGTGAATGGGCAGATGTTAGCAGGGATAGGCATGCAATATCTGTGGAGTCTCAATTTTCTGGAATGGTAATGGGTAAGTTTCTCATAGAGTAAATGAATTTTTCCTGAGATTTTAATCTCAAAGTACTTTAAAGTGGCAACTTTTTCTGGCATCACTTACAGTGATTTCTTCCCTCTCATGTCTTCTAAATACTTAACATCACTGCAGGCTTGCCAATGTGCAGTCTACTGGTGCTTGTTTATGCCAAAACCCTCCAGCATATGTATGCTTATTTTATCAGTAATCACTATTACGAGTTATTAATACAAGAAAAGTGTAATTAGAGATGCTGAGTTTTTGAGATCTACTGACCAACAGAATGGCAGGGACTGACAGCCCTGTTCTGTGCAATGGTGAAAACTGAAGTAATCTCTTCTTCTTATCAGAAACTTTTGAATAGGTTAGTGCTTTGAAGCCTGAATCATGACTGTGCTGATCTGAACTGCAGCAGCACTGACTATGCTCCTGCCAGGACGGTGCTGCTGGAGAGAATATGGCAGCATAAATCTATTATTGGTTGGGCTTCAAGGGAGGGAATTGCTAATATTGCTTTTACACTCATTTGATCTGAAACTCTTTTCCAGTCCACCTGTGACATATGCTTGCAGCCCTTCTTTCCTCCAGCTATTTGTTCATGTCTGTGCCTCCAGAAGAGAAGCCCCTGCACTCTGACATTCATGGGGGCGAGGGCAGTGGGAGGGTTAGCTGTGGGCAGGCTTTTGGCACAGTGCTTGCTCTGGCTAAGCACTTCTGATCTGGAAGGCAAGAGATTATCCTGTAGTAGGGCTGTCAGTTTGTGAAGTTGTGACTTCTTTTTCCCCTCCAACATTTGTTTTTCCAGTCTGTTTATTCTGGAAGCAGCTTGGGGCAGACATTTGTCCTTACAGCATAGTCACACAGTTTCTGACAGAGTGAACTGGACCTTCCTTTGGACCTCAAAGAATTGCTGAGCAGCGAAAAGTCCTGACATGACAACAAGAGGAGAAAAACCTTGAGGGCAGTGTGGGGAGAGGGGCATGGTGGGAGGCACAGCACCTTCCTCTGGGAGTGAGAAGAACGACCTCCAATGGTAAGTCCATTGAGAGGGATGGGGTGGGGACAATCACTTCTTATGTAGCTGTACTTAATTGGAAGGACCTTGGTTGGTGGCATGGGATGGCAGGCCCCGGGCACTGCAAGAATGAGTGGAGGGTTGTGATGACAAGGCAGAATTGATATACAATGAAATAGATCTGTTTTGAGAAACTGGTTTTCAGATGTTTACCTGTACCTAAGTATCTCCAAATATTTCTTAGCCCCCACTACACCTTCTCCTGTTATGTCTTTTTGACCTCTGTTGTCTTTACTCACCCTCTCTTTTCTTTTAGTGATTTCCTATCTCTTGAATCAATAGTTTACAAAGGCTGCTCTGTTTAGGATCAGAGAGGCCTGAGGAAATTTTTGTTGAAAGCAACGAAAAACTTTTTATAAGGCTAGGTTTTGTCTCCTGATCTAACCAAATCTGATGTCCTGCTTGTCTCCTCTTTCACTGGTGTGTGGAGACACAACATCAGTTTTCTTTTAGGTTGTGAAGAAAGGCTGGGAGAGATGTGCTAAGGGGTAAGGGAGAAGAGGGATTATTGGAGCTGAACAGTGTAGGGTAGTTGTTCCTCTGAGCACTTCCCAGCCTGAGCATCTACCTGAATAATCAGTGGTGTTTATGACTAAAGAAATAAACGTCAATACAATCCCAATTTCAAACTCTTTTTAACAATCCTGAGCAGGAAGTCTTACTGTTTGTCAAAAAAGTGTAAAAAAAACCAAACTGGGAAATTAATTAACTTTGACCATCTTTTAATTGCTCATACAAATGATAAACTATTTCTAAAATAATAACCTCAAAACTGTTTTTAAAAATCCCTTGACAGAATCCTTTTAAATTTACCAGGGACAGAATGATTGCAAATGTATATAAAACAGCTGCTTTCAGATGCAGGTAAGCTGCTATTGAACAGAGATAAAATCCTAACTGTTTATGCCTGCATTTGATGATAGTGCAGTTGAGTATTGTGTTATTTAATAATGTATTCAAGCACCTGTTTAAAGAAGGTATATTCCACTCTGGTCCAAAATTAAAACAACCCCATTACTTGTCAGGGTTTCATTCATAATTCTTGTATCATACTCTGATTAGAGTATACATTGAACCTCAGATGAGCATTACCTAAGGCACACTGAGTTAAATGCACTGTATAAACTAGGCACAAACCACAAAGCTACCTTTAACTCGCACAAAACAGCAAGGGGAAATTGATTAAAATATGCATTCTACTAATATAACGGCTGGTCTCAGTATAAAAATTAATTAATGCTAATAGTACACAATCAAAACTGCTTTTAGAAATCTTCTTAGAACATTAACTAAAATGTTCATCTTTTTAATGCATTTGACTGAACCTCTGAGACTAAAAGCTTTGCTTCCTCCATGCAAATGTGAAAAAAAATCACAGCCTGAATTTTCAAGTGGTTATTTTATAGCAACCTCCCCCAGCCATTTGCTTTTGGATTTCTTGTTAACCTGAGCCTGGTCCCAGGCCATGTGTGAGGTTGTACTATTAGCTACTACAGATTAAGGTGGCAGCCCTGGGAATCGAGGCCAATAACATATGCAGATTGAGCCACAGAGCAGAGAAGAAGATAACTAAATGAAAAAAGGGGAGAGGGTACTGTGTTTAAAGAGGCAGCACTATTCTAGGCAATAGCAAAAGCAATATTCTAGGCTTTCAGCTCACAGTTATTCTGAACATAAGGAGTGAATATTTGTCAAAAAAAAAACAAAAAAAAAAAAAACAACAAAACAAAACAAACCAAAACAGTCAACCTCCTCCAGGATCTTCTCTTCCTCTTGCCTTATTTGGTTGGTTTTTACATTTGGGCAAGATATTTTCATTCACTGAGATTAATTTTCCTCAGCTGGTTCAAGTTCCAAAATATACAACTTTAAAGAGTCAGTTCTGTGGGCACAGCAAGGGTCCAATCCTCTGACTCTCACAGGATCTTTCTTTGTGTGTGGGGCTTTGGTGTGGCCTCCAAATCAGGAATTCCTTTTGTATAGTATCAAATCTGTCTGTATCATTGGTGCATATCTCTGAGAAAAAGGCTTTAATATAAGTTTTGAGTTATTTAATAATAGAGGTGGGTTTGATACATCCATTTTTTATGTATATAAACTTATAAATATATATATGTACCCACACGCATTGGCACACACATAAACTTCTATTTATTCACAGGTATAGTATTCATCTGACTTTGGTCTCTATTTTTTTTTCTGTTTCTCTGAATCTTCCTTAAACCTTTCTGAATTTTAGGTCTGCTTTTCCCTCATTTATTCAGGTATCTCTTAATCATTCTAAAGGTACCTGAAACGAAAAAATGTCTGGCCTCAAAGACATACTACCAAAACTTACAGAAACAGCAACAGTTTATATTGTAATATTTATTTTTCTGGATCTTATCTGCCAAGAGATTCAACAAGAGCTCTCAAAAACCTGAAACCTTGACATACATGGATTTTCACAGTTGCATCACCAATCAGATTTTTCCCATTTATGTTTTTAGCAATGGTTGTGATGAAATTTGATGGCATCACTGAAAAACACAGCCAAAAATCCCCAGAATCTTCCTTTTAATGATGCAAACATCAGCAAACTTCTCTCTTTGTTGAGGTTGCATTTAGCAATCTGGGCAAACAGGAATCTTAGATTCAGTTTCCAGCTCCTACATAAGTTGGTGAAGGTTGCTTGGACTCCTCATTTGTTAACTTCTCATCTTCAGAGGAAAGGAACCAGAAGTTGTTTCTCCTTTTCTCCTCTGTTTTGTGAAACTAGTTTTGGCTAAGTTTTACATTTCCCTGGGGAATCTTAGGGAGGTGCATTGAGAACAAATCACCTCCTGTCTTCAGCAGCTGCTCCCTTCTGCTTGTGTGCTGTGTCAGCTTCGCAGTGGCCAATTGGCCATTTTCTCTGTCTTGCTTTGGGTACATATTTCGTTGCCCTTTACTTTCTGTACAGGTACAGCATATTGTTTTTGTTCTCTTCTAGGCTTGCAGTGACCTGGGCCCTCTGAGCCACAAATATCTGTCACTAATGTCACAGAGATCCAAAGTGCTGCTCCTCTATGGAAGGATCTCTCAAGGCAATCACCGATGCTGTCTGTTCTGGGCTTTTTTCATTGCCCTTATACATTTTAATAACCAAACCATTAACATACAGAAACATTTCATCATAAGCCAGGTGAGAGGTAGCGAGACTTATTTTTTTTTTTTTTATTTGCATTTGTTCTAAGTTTCAGAGAAAATTTAAAATTACAAAATCTCAACAGATGACTTAAGGAGATATTATTAATGGGAATATTAAACAATTTAAATAAAATCTTTTATGTAATTGCACAAAATATTCATCCACCCTTCCAAACTGAGTGAGTAGTTATAAGTTTTGAGAGGACAGATGGATGTGTGCTAGGCCATCTAACTTCCTGGGTAGCTCAAGAGATCAATAAGCTACCTAGAAAGACATGGATAACTGGACCTGTGGGATACTCAGGGCTAAGTGATCCTAAAAGGTTTTAAAAACATGTAACTTCTTTGATAGGAAGATAGGAAGATCTTGTATTATAGTGCAGAAAGATGTGCAGATGGTAGGGAAAGGTGCCAGCTAAAGGTGACACTCCAGCTCACGTGAACTGGTCATGGCCCACAGCTGAGCAGAGCCCTTCATCCAGAAAGCATCAGGATCTTGGTCTGAGAAAGACTAAGTAAGGTGTTAGTATTTTCTCATGCTAAAAACAAAAAAAAAGAGGAGAAATAGTCATAATTTTCTTCTTTGCTTTCAAATTTTAAAATTACACATTCACAGTTTGTGGTCAGTTGGTTGAAGTACATATAGAGGCTTCTGTCCTCACCTGGAATTGCTGGTGTTTTTTGATGTGGCAAAACAGAGCTTTTTCAGTTTAGTGCTTGCAGTATATTTAAACAATTAAACACTAGATTTCATATCAGCAAGTATATACTCGTAATTTTATTACTTTATTTTCCTTGAGAAAGCAATTGATCTGTTGGAAAAGCAGATAGAATATATACAGCATATTATTGTTATTGGTCTTTTACTGTCCTAAGTTTTAGAGAACACTTTACTTTCAATTTTACTGAATGTTTCCATGAAACATAGAGTGTTACTCGTTCTGCAATGCACAATGTCTCAACATATCCATATGCTTATAGGTCTCATAGTCTCACAGTCACGAGTAGCAAACTTACAGATTCTATACCATAACATTATTTACTTCGATACTCCATCTCAGACACACCGAACTGTTTACAGGCATCTTAACTTGACATTCTACAGATAGCTGTTTCTCCTGTTTACAAACAAGTTACATTAATGTAATGATTCTGCAATTACATAAAAAGATTACCAGACCACTTGAAAATTCCCTACTAGCATTCTCATTTATATTAGCGTGTTCTCAATTAGAGTAATATATGTCTGATGATTCTCTTTACTGCAAAACTTAATTTAGATTTCTTGTTAATTCACATTGTGCCAGTGTTTAACATCAAATATTAATAAATGCCCCTGATTTCTTTTTTGCCAAAAAAAGAAAAAAAAAGAAATCGGACTGTTTTGTAGAACAATTATTACGTACCAAAGCTTATTACTTGATTGCTGCAAAGTAGCCCACTTTCAGCAGGCACAGCATATCTGGTTGATTTTCTGAGAGGGGATAAATAAATTTCCCTGAGTCAATGGGTAACAATGCTGGTGATAGAGACATCAGTGGCATCCAGACAGTGATCATCTCATTGAAGGAGAAAGTAAAGACGAGAAGAAAGTAAAAGCTGCCCTCATTTGCAGAAAGTTATCTTTTCAAGCTGATTATTAGCTTGCACTCAGGACAAGCTTTTCATTTGCCCTCTTCTGTAAAGCCAAGTTATTATAATGGAAGCCACCAACAGGTTAAGGAGGGAAGGAATTTAAAAGTTTGTGAGAAATGCATGTTAAAAATCTGTTTAAAACAATATGAAAAACTGCTCACGTACATAAAATAGGTGAAAATTCTTTTTCAGCTTTATTTACCTGAGAATGAATTTCAGTTTGAAGAGGCCTTTATGTCGTTTCAGGCAAAGCACCTAAGATATAAGCAATTTTCAACAAGAGTACTACACATTTGTCTTTATAACAATTTGTATGTAACAGCTTTTATGCAAATGATGCTAAAGTGGCACCTTTTTTCTAAATTGGACATTTTTATGGTTATAATTTTCTTCTGTAATAACAGCAAAAAAAAAAATGGTTGTCCCAGTGGAGTTGAGCATTTCATCTCTAGTGCTGTTTTGTGAAGTTGGAATGACAAGTTTCTTTCATTTGCACAAAGAATGACAAAAAGAAGTATTTTTTGTCATTCTTGTCTGACTTGGTTGAGGCAGTTACACTTGGAAGTAGCACCAGTCCCCTGACACCAACCTTTTCTCTGCCATCAAGAATGGTATCATAAAGTCGTAATAAAACTTAAAGGAACTAAAAAAATATTGCATTCTCTCTGTTTCTGCTCTTTGAAGGACATAAATCACTTTGTTAGTTTAAGTAGTTGATGCTTTGGTGTGGTCTTTGGCATTGATTCACACTCATTCTCCAGGGGTCAGAAAGTTGACTTTTACAGACCATGGTTTTAGATCTAATTAACTATGATACAAGGGAATTTATATTTCATGCAAACATTCCAAGGCATTAGTATAATAAACCAAGTAAAATAGGCAGGTTCTTTTTGCTTAATTGACTATGTAGTTCTGCAACAGTGATGTGAAAAATTCTGGGTCTTTAACAACGATTAAATTCTGTCCCAGCTACCAATTAATTAGTGATCTGTAGCCAGGAAACTTTATGATGGATGATTTTACCTCCATGAAGTGATAAATTGGTAGACTTTAATTGAGACGTACAATAAGGTTAACAAAATCTAATTGAAATCTGATACTTCATCTCATAAAGTAGAATCTCATAAAATATAATTAAATGTACTATTTAGTAAAATACCCACAAATGTTTATTTGAATGTGAACAGCCAATAAGTGCTGAAGCCCCTTGTGTTTCCCTCACTAAACTGTGTAGGTCAGATATCTATATACTTTCTATATATAAACTATAAATTTAAGGTCTATTTTTAATCAATCTTATGTTAGTACTGATTTTTATTTCTGCTACTCAAACATTGCCTGTAGTGCTCCTTAGTGTTCTGAACATTGGCCTTGTGTGCTGTATTTGATGGGACAGAATTATTTTTTTCACACCTGCTAGCATGGGGCTATACTTCAGATTTGTACTGAAAACAGGGCTTATAATACCAAAATATTTGTGTTATTGCTGAGTGCTGCCTACACAACATCAATGCCTTTTCTGCTCCACATCCCACCCCACCAGTAGTATGGCATGCACAGGGAGTTGGAATGGGACACAGCTGGGACACATAACCCCAATTTGTGCTAAAGGGACTCTGTGCCACATGACATGGTGCTCAGCATGTAAAGCTGGTGAAAGAAGAAGGAAGGAGGGGACCATTGTAGTGATGATGTTTGTTTTCCCAAGCCACAGGTATGCATAATGGAGCTCAGGCTTCCCAGCGATGGCAGAACACCTGCCTGACTGTGGGAAGTGGTGAACAAACCTCAGTCTGCCTGTATATCCCTGTATATCCAGGATTGCTCCATCCCAGGTGCAGAATCTGGCATTTGTCTTTGCTAAACTTCATGCAGTTTGTGACTGCTCAGTCCTGTAATTTGTCGAGGTCTCTCTGCAGGGCCTCTCTCCCTTCAAGGGAGCTCCTCCCAGTTTTGTATCATTGACAAATTCACCTAGTGTACCTTTGAGTTCTGTGTCCAAGTTATTGATGAAGTTGAAGAGAATTGGTCCTAAAATGGGGCCCTGCAGAGCCCCACTAGTGACCTGTCACCAGCTTGATGTCACCCCATTCACACTTGGGGCACGTTGTAGAGCTAACCTTTATTATTGTAGTAATGAACTGGAAGGTTGGAAGGTTAAGTTCAGGCCTTCTTTTTTTAATTTTTTTTTCTTTTTTTTTTAGAGTGCTTATGGCCTAGAATGGTTTTCCTTAGAAATCCGAGGTTTTCTCTCTCTGCTTAACAATTTCTGTCTTTGAAGTTCCTATACTTTGCATTGTACCTTCCATTTCAGCTATACAGTATCTATACATATAATTGCTGAACTGCCAGAGGAAACCATGACTTGAGACATTCTAAAATTTCAGCCAAGGCAAAGCTTCAAAGCAATTAAAGCCATAACTATATGCAAAAGGAATTTCCAGAAAATAATGACTGTAGGAAGAGTTGACTATATTGATAAGTATATTAGAATGTTAACACTGAAATTTTGCTTCTAAATTCCCAGAATAAAACTCTGTTCATTAACACTCCTATAAAGACATACCAGCAACCTGCATCCTCCTATCCCTGAAAAAGAAGAAAAAAGCACTGGATACAGCTGAGCAGGTGAAGTGTTTTTTATGCTTGGGACACTTCCACAGAAACCATGTCTTGTCTTCAGTCATTTGGATTACATAAATAATTCCACAGTATACTATCTAATTTATAAATATCTGCTTATGAAGAAACACTTCTGGTATTATGGAGTGGGTTAATACATTATTTACATTTTAGAAGCAGAAATGTCTTTTTCTCGGCACAATATTAATTAATAAATACTTCGTACATTTAATAGTGCCTTTCATCCAAAGACCTCAAAGCATCTCCAGATTTTTACAAGTGGGCAAACTGAGGCAGATAACAACCAGGCAGTGTTTGCAAGGTCACTCTGCATGCTCCTGGTGGAGCTAGCAATGGATACTCCAGTGTGTTGACTAAAATCCTGAAACCAACCCCTCTGGCCCACTGTGCTGCATGAGCAAATCTATGTACACTAATAGATTACTAATGTTTTGACAACCTAATGGTTTACTTAGTTTGATGTACCTTAGGGCTTTATAATTAAGGAAATATGTGTTCACATTGGTATTAAAACATTTTTTTGTCAAATATTCAGTGGAATCAAGTTAACAAATTCTTGTCTTACTGTCCCTGAAAACTAGTGAGGAAAACAGCTCTTATGGGATGTGGAATAAAAGGACTGATTTCACATAAATTTTTTTTTTTTTCAAACTCTTCTAAATGAAATATTGAAAAGAGTTTGGAACATATATTGAGCATCAACAAGCAGGGCTGAAAAAGAATCCAAGCTTTAAAAAAATATTTTTTAAAATTTAGTTTGAAAGTTGAAATCGCATCAGGCTTAATTGACATCTCTACCATGACCTCTGCACTTTTCTGGTAACATAAAAGCACCTGGAGGTGTGGAGATATGTTAATATATTCATCTGTGGTGGTCTATGGAGATTTAGAATCTGAGAAAAATAAATCACTTCAGCGTTGCCTTCTATATTTGCTATTAATTTAACTCAATAAGAAAAATGAAGTGATACGAGTTCTTGATGAAGTGATGGTGTTTTTAGTTTCATACGCTATATTTACATCTGACTAAAGGACTTTTTGGTGCAACCTCTGCTAACTGGAATGATCACTGCATCATGAATAATCAAATGAGATTAGCCAACTGTGTCCAGGTCCAATTGTCCTCTTATTGTCTAGAGAAAAAACATCCTTTAGTTTCAGGCTACTTTATAGTCCACTACCATAATTCCTGATAGCCTGTCGCCAGAAAACCATCTGAATGCCTTCTTTATTTTTTTTCTTAAAATATCAAATGTTCTTTATTCATTCTTGTTTATCTGCTGGCTGTCTATAGCATGCATGAGAGTTCACTATCCCTGTCATCCTGATGCATTTTGTGCTTCGTTAATTATGAAAATCACATGGTGATTACAAAGCCTTCATGTGCAAATCAGAAAACATGATGCAGACAGTTACACATAGCCATTTACCACAGTCATCAGCAACTGCAGGATCTCAGGAAGAACGCTTACAATTCCCCTTACAACATTATTTCTCTAAAGCATTCCTTTCCTATAGCAAGGTAATGGTCTGAAAGAGGCACAGATCCTCATCTGCCTAACCTTGGTGTAAATTAGGAACAGCTCCTCTGAGATCAGTGCAGTTGCTCTGAATAAGCAACAGAGATCAGAGTCTGGCTCAGGAACTTTACATATTCACTATTAAACTTGGAAAAGGGAACCCTTGTCTGTCTCAATTTCCCAAGTGCTATCTGTCACTAACAAGGCACACGCACATTAATTGTGTGTTTTAAAACTTTGTTTGGTTGAACTTGTCATCCTAGGCTAAAATTGTGTGACCTAACTTGTAGTAGCTTTTGCAGTGAAGGTATCATTTACTGTTGAGTATATTTTACTGTGCTGTTATAGATCTTTTCACTCAACCAGCTGTCTAACATGTTGAATAGTCTTTCATCTTGTCAAACACTTCCATTCCCCTTTCTACAGCTTTCTCAGCCAGCATGTACACACCTAATCAATCTAATGCCACTGTCTCCAGACTTTAAAACCAAAAAGCACTGCCCAAACTACTTTTTTAAAGAGACAGTCATGCTTTTCCAGTAAATTCAACATCAAGAGGACAGATAAATTGTTAAATGAGAAGAAACACATCTCAGAAACTGTTACTCTAGGTCCAGCCTCAGAGCTCAGGTTCACTCACTGAATCTGTCATTCAGTAAAGGCTGTTGGGGGCTTCCCTTCACACTGATCATGTATATGTTAATGTAAGTTAATTTAATAAACATCTTACACATGGAACTGAGTTTAAATCCTCTTGCTTTTGCTTACTTATACTTTTTTTTCCATTTTTAGACAAACAAGATTAGTCTGAAGATTAGTCTGCCTCAATCTGTTCAATGCCATTTTTTCTTTTTTTTTTTTTTTTCCCTTTTCCTTATCTTTCATCAATGGGAACTCCATTAGTAGATTGATATTTACATCATACAGGAGGCAGGAGAAAAACAAAATCCATTGGCATTGCTTTTAGGTGGCCCTTGCTATGTGATATAGTGTATACCTTACATGGTATGGAGTATTCATTAGGGCTGTTTTTATTTTTATTACTTTTATTTTTATTAGATATATTACCTCCTGAGACTGTATGAAGTGAACCATGTCACTGGGTGAGATTACTACTCAGTTAATAGCAGTTCTGAAATCAGACAGTTGGGAATAGGCTGTGTTGCAAGAACCTCTAAAATGTGAATATATGTGTTGGGGGACAGGGTAGCTTTCCAAAGGGGAGGGTTTTTCTTCTGTTGATGGATTCTCTTGTGGAACATTTTTCAATTGCAAGCTCGTTTCTATATGAGCTTTTAGTTAAAACAGATAACAACACCTGAAACAAACACTTTTATAGCCGGCAGGTACACATGAAATAGAAAGGTCTGAACAAACAGGTAGAGGTGGGTGCTTTGTATTTTCATTCTGATTTTGAATTCCTAAGGATGGAGGGAGGTAAAGACACTTCAACCTTTAAGCCCCTTTGACA